CCCCGCCCCACGGCCCCCCGCCCCACACCTCGTCCACCAGCACGGTGTCCCCGATGAACATGGCGTAGGTCTTCTCCTCGGGTTTTTTGCCCTCCTTGTTGGTCAGGTCGGAGAAGCCGACGTTGATGCTGAAGACCATGCCTTGGAGCGGGGAGGAAGAGGAGGAGATGTGGGGAGGAAGTTTTGGGCTGCGGGAGGAAGTTTTGGGGTGCAGGAGAACTTTTGGGGCGCAGGAGGCCAATTTGGGGTGGAGGAGGAGAACTTTTGGGGTGAGAAGTTTCGGGGTGCAGGAGGAGAACTGTTGGGGTGAGAAGAAGTTTTGTGGTGCAGGAGGCCAATTTGGGGTGACGGAGGAGAAGTTTTGGGGTGGAGGAGGCCAATTTGGGGTGCAGGAGAACTTTTGGGGTGAGGAGGAGAAGTTTTGGGGAGCAGCAGGCCAATTTGGGGTGCAGGAGGCCAATTTGGGGTGAGAAGGAGAAGTTTTGGGGTGCAGGAGGACAATTTGGGGTGGAAGAGGCCAATTTGGGGTGCAGGAGGAGAAGTTCTGGGGTGAGAAGGAGAAGTTTTGGGGTGCAGGAGGACAATTTGGGGTGAGGAGGACAATTTGGGGTGGAGGAGGACAATTTGGGGTGGAGGAGGAGAAGTTTCGGGGTGCAGGAGGAGAAGTTTCGGGGTGCAGGAGAACAATTTTGGGTGGAGGAGGACAATGTGGGGTGCAGGAGGAGAAGTTTTGGGGTGGAGGAGGGCAATTTGGGGTGGAGGAAGAGAAGTTTTGGGGTGCAGGAGGCCAATTTGGGGTGCAGGAGGACAATTTGGGGTGAGGAGGAGAAGTTTTGGGGTGCAGAGGAAAAGTTTTGGGGTGCAGGAGGCCACTCTGGGGTGGAGGAGGAGAAGTTTTGGGGTGCAGGAGGCCAATTTGGGGTGAGGAGGACAATTTGGGGTGGAAGAGGCCAATGTGGGGTGCAGGAGGACAATTTGGGGTGGAGTAGGAGACGTTTTGGGGTGCAGGAGGCCAATTTGGGGAGGAGGAGAAGTTTTGGGGTGAGGAGGAGAAGTTTTGGGGTGGGAGAAAATGGCGGGGCGGAAGAGGAGGAAGGTGGCGGTGGAAGAGGAGAATTTGGGGTGGAAGGAGGATGGTTTTGGCAGGGAAGGAGAGCACCGCATTGGGGTGGAAGAGGAGCTCTTTGGGGTGGAAGGAGAAGACCTCGGGGCGATGACAGGAGAGGAGCTCTTTGAGGCGAAGAGGACCTCGTTTGGGATGAAGGAGAGGACCTCGTTTGGGATGAAGACCTCGTTTGGGATGAAGGAGAGGACCTCGTTTGGGGCAGGAGGACCTCGGTGGGGTGGAAGAGGATCTCACTGAGGTGCAAGAGGAGCTCTTTGAGGTGAAGAAGACCTCGTTGGGATGAAGGAGAGGACCTTGCTGGGGTGGAAGAGGACCTCTTTGGGTGAAGAGGACCTCAGTGGGGTGGAAGCAGAAGACCTCGGTGGGGTGGAAGCAGAAGACCTCGGTGGGGTGGAAGAGGACCTCATGGAGGTGCAAGAGGAGCTCTTTGAGGTGAAGAGGACCTGGTTTGGGATGAAGAAGACCTCGTTGGGGTGAAGAAGAGGACCTCATTGGGGGGGAAGGAGAAGACCTCGTTGGGGTGGAAGAGGACCTCATTGAGGTGAAGAGGACCTCTTTTGGGATGAAGAAGATCTTGTTGGGGTGAAGAAGACCTCGTTTGGGGCGCAAGAGGACCTTGTTTGGAGTGGAAGGAGAAGACCTTGGTGGGATGACAGGAGAGGAGCTCTTTGAGGTGAAGACGACCTTGTTGGGGTGGAAGGAGAGGACCTCGTTGAGGTCCAAGAGAACCTCGTTTGGGGTAGAAGGAGAGGATCTCGTTGGGGTGGAAGAGGACCTCTTTGAGGTGAAAAGGATCTCATTGGGGTGAAGAGGACCTCGGTGGGGTGGAAGGAGAGGACCTCATTTGGGCTGGCAGGAGAAGACCTCGTTGGGGTGGAAAAAGGCCTCTTTGAGGTGAAGAGGACCTCAGTGGGGCGGAAGAAGACCTCACTGAAGTGCAAGAGGACCATTTTGACGTGAAGAGGACCTCATTTGAGGTGGAAGAGGACCTCTTCTGCGGTGGAAGGAGAGGACCTCGTTGGGAGGGAAGAAGAAGACCTTGTTGGGGTGGAAGGAGACCTCACTGAGGTGAAGAGGACCTCGGTGGGGTGGAAGGAGAAGACCTCGTTGGGGTGGAAGAGGACATCGTTGGAGTGAAGAGGACCTCATTTGGGGTGGAAGGAGAGGACCTTGTTGCGGTGGAAGAAGACCTCACTGAGGTGAAGAGGAGCTCTTCTGGGGTGGAAGAGGACCTCATTTGGGGTGGAAGGAGAAGACCTCGGTGGGATGACAAGAGAGGACCTCTTTGAGGTGAAGACGACCTTGTTGGGGTGGGAGGAGAGGACCTCGCTGGGGTGGGGGGGATGAAGTGCTCCTCACCCTTCTTCAGCCGGTGTTGGTTCTTGCTGTTGATGACCAAGGAGCCCTCCCTGAACTCGATGCCCATGGCGAAGCTGGTGAGATAGGGACAGACGACCCTCAGGAGGTCCCCAAACCTCCCTCGCGTGTCCCCCGTGTCCCCCCCATCCTCACCCCAAATTCTTGGTGATCTTGCTCAACAACTCCGGCTTCTGCTTCTTCACCACGTCCATCACGGCGCCGTAGACGTCGCAGAGCTTGGTTCCTGGAAGGAGGAGGAGATGTCACCACGTTGCAGTGGGCTGGGATCTCAAAGAGCTGCAGGAGCAACCTCTAGAACTTCACAGGAGGTTCCAAGAGAGCCATGAGCCACCTCTAGAACTTCATGGTGGGTCAAAGAGCTCCAGGAGCCACCTCTAGAACTTCATAGGAGGTTCCAAGAGAGCAATAAGCCACCTCTAGAACTTCATGGTGGTTCCAAGAGGTCCAGCAGCCACCTCTAGAACTTCACGGGAGGTTCCAAGAGCTCCACGAGCCACCTCTAGAACTTCATGGTGGTTCCAAGAGGTCCAGGAGCCACCTCTAGAACTTCACGGGAGGTTCCAAGAGAGCAATAAGCCACCTCTAGAACTTCATGGTGGTTCCAAGAGGTCCAGCAGCCACCTCTAGAACTTCACGGGAGGTTCCAAGAGCTCAACAAGCCACCTCTAGAACTTCATGGTGGTTCCAAGAGGTCCAGGAGCCACCTCTAGAACTTCACGGGAGGTTCCAAGAGCTCCACGAGCCACCTCTAGAACTTCATGGTGGTTCCAAGAGGTCCAGGAGCCACCTCTAGAACTTCACAGGAGGTTCAGAGAACTCCATGAGCCACCTCTAGAACTTCATGGTGGGTCAAAGAGCTCCATGAGCCACCTCTAGACCTTCACAGGAGGTTCAGAGAGCAATGAGCCACCTCTAGAACTTCATGGTGGTTCCAAGAGGTCCAGCAGCCACCTCTAGAACTTCATGATGGGTCAAAGAGGGCCAGGAGCCACCTCCAGAACTCCACGGGAGGCTCCAAGAGCTCCACAAGCCACCTCCAGAACTTCATTGTGGGTCAAAAAGCTCCATGAGCCACCTCTAGAACTTCACGGGTGGTTCCAAGAGGTCCAGGAGCCACCTCCAGAACTTCATGGTGGTTCAAAGAGGGCCAGGAGCCACCTCTAGAACTTCACGGGTGGTTCAAAGAGCACCATGAGCCACCTCTAGAACTTCACACGTGGTTCAAAGAGCACCATGAGCCACCTCCAGAACTTCATGGGTGGTTCCAAGAAGGCCACGACCCCACCCCTAGAACCTGACGCGCGGTCCTCACCGTGTCGCATCTCCTTCAACATCTCCTCCTGGAGTTGGAGGAGGAAGGCGTAGTAAAAAAGGCGGGTCCACCATCAACGTCCTCACCAGGTTGGAGCAGTAGGACTTGTACCGGATGCCCATGGCGCAGGTGATGGCCCCGAAGTGCATGTGGTTCTTGTCGCTGGTGGAGAACGGGGCGGGGGGGGACAATTAAAATTTTGGGGGGGGAGGACAACGGAGGCGTCAAGTTGGTGTCCCCCAAACCGACGTGGAGGAACGTCCCCACGGCGGACGTTTTTCTTTTTTTTGGGTGGAAATTGGCCCCACTGGGTCGATTTTTTTTATTTTGGAGGGGACGGGGACCTCTCCCTCTCGGATTTTTTTTTT